TAGAGCTCATCAAGACGCATCTAATGGTAGTAAGAATATTAAAATTGGCTTGGTGGTTCTTGAGAAATCTTTAAAAAACGTTTCAGCAATTATATAAAATCTTCTTTAAAAAAATCGATTTTCTTTAAAGAAATTTTATATGTTGGTGAAAAGTTTTTTTAAAGATTTCTCAAGAACCATCTACCATTAGATGTGTCTTGATGAGCTCTACAACTTTTGTTAGAAGCCCAAAGATGATTTACTTAGTAAGAAAAAAGTTTTCCTTGTGTGAACACCATATTTCTTTAAAAAATCTCCACATTTCTATCTATATGTTTTACATATAGAACCGCGTTGCGTTATACTATGATAATTAATCAGTTCACTGGAGAATCATCAATTAAAAAACAAAATTACACCAAAAAGGAAATTCAATAGACTATATTCGCTAATAATTTTTATTCTGCTTGCAGAATTCTGTACAAATTCTGCGCCTAATCTAAAAATTGTAAGACATAAAACACGAAATTTGGCCGCTTTGCATACTGCAATATCGATTAGATCTCGCAGAAATCAGAACCTAACATATCTTAAAGAGAAAGAGAAATACATTTAAATATGGTTAATATATGATATATAGATTAAAAAAAAAAATAAAAAATTGAAATTCAGAATACTTAGTTATCAGTGGAACTGCATAATCAGTAGTAAATTTAAACTTTTAAAATCTTTTTTTTTTTTAATAAAAAAAAAATGTTTCGATTTAAAAGTACTCATTACTGTTACAGTCTTATGTTTAACGTTATTTATCACAGATCATATAATTTTATATTTTCAAGGTTGCTCTAGAGTATGTTGCAGAAGCGATGACTAGTGGCTGGTGACTAAAAGAATACTAATATCAATACACTTAACACTAAAAACTATAACAAATAAGCTATGAAACACCAAATGTAGGCTGTGAAAGCATGGAAAAATTTAGTTCGAGTTTTGGGCTTTTTTGTTATTGTGGTGGGGTTTGCAATAGAGTTGCGAATGGAGCCAATGGAGCTCTGAATGGCGGTGTTGGCCGATGACTTATATCATACTATTTTTTCTATATGACCTTGGTCATATACTCGTATGACTTTTTGGTCATAGTCATATCGGTCATATTAAATACTAATGAAAAAATTTTTTACTATGATTCTTACTATATTAAAAAAGACCATATCAATCTTTCGTTATGACCAAATACCTATGACAGGTCATAAAGGTCATATAGGCTACTAATTTTTTGAGCTCTATTCGCATAACTACTAAGCACCATTGGCTCCATTGCCAACCCTGGTTACGAGATACGCAATTGGACTTGTTAAATAAGTATTTCCTCTTAATATCTCTATTTTTTTCTAATTCTTTCTCTCTTTATATAGCTACTAATAATCCTATATTATTTCTTATTGCGACGGGGTTGAAATATGCTATTCCTATCATGAATTCTGGTTTATAGTATCATGTAATATGGTCATTTTAAGTGTATAATGACATGGATCACAAAGTTAATCGGTTGGTTTTTAATATATAAGGACTCTGATTTCTAATCGACACATTCCTTCTTTACTTTTATAAAACAAGAATATGGGTTTTATGAATATTACGGGCCAAGGAATAATGAAGATATAGTACAAATTTAATAATCAAAGAAAAAACTTTTTACGTAGAGGACCACACTTTCTACTAAGACCTTTGAAGTTTTGGAACTTAACTGAGTTACTTTTATTTGAGAGTAAGTTGGGTCACTTATATACTTGTTATTTTACATATACAATAAAAATTAAAAATTTATGATTTCTTCGCTTTATTAAACTTGTGCTGCGTCGATTGCTAAGTAGAGGTAAATTTGACGTTTACAACGTACGTACGTACGTACATTCATACATCAGTATGTATATAATAACGATGTCAAATTATATGACTCAATAGGATTTAGACTCTTGGGTTTTGGGTGGGACACTTTGGGTTTGATGCATTATCTTGCATGATCTATTATATCCTTGAATTATTTAGGGTTTTATTTGAATTATTTAGGGTATTTATTTAAATTTATTGAATATTGTTCCATATTGCAGACCAATTAAAAATGATTAATTACGGGTTTAAAATAACTCCAGTGCCTCTGTTTAGGACCAAATGTCTCCGATTAGTGCATATGTATTAATTATAATCAGAAACAATATTGGTACATTCTTTTATATTAGCGTTTATACAACAAATTTATTATAATGATAAATTAATAATAATTGAAATTGTGAAGATCATGGCCCATATACATCAGTTCCTGGAACATCGAATGGGAAAAAATCTAATTTCTGTTTTTTCGCCCTTGGGTTCTCTCTGTAAAAATGTTCCTCATGAATATATGGTCACTTTTCAATAACGTTTTCAATAAAAGCATCACCAATACCATCGAGAACGTTTTTTAATCTATTTACATCCCAAAAATTAGGATTGACAGCTTTAACAAAAGAAAATGTGGCCAATGATGAAAAAACAGATCCAAAGTGTTTATCGAAATTGTCTTTTGAAATGATTAGAATGCCTGCTTTTTCCTGTAGCCCACTATATGGTTGTGTAGTAAAGATGATTGTAATGAGCTCATAACCTTCATACATCTTTTTAACTTCAGTAATAAGCTTGCTTAAATTTTTGATGTCCTCATCATCAATAATTTTCTCAGTCATCATCTTTGAACCATAGTTCCACTTGTATTGAATCATCAATAGACATTTTACACCGTTCATTCTAACTAAGATTATATCTGCGAAATCAGCAGATGCACCATTGAGAACCACAACAGTTCCACTCTCCAAGTCGATTAGTTTATGATCATATTTGTTCGTTAATTTCTTGCTATGTGGAAATTGCTCATTCGCCTCATAACAATGAAGCTTCTTCAAAACTATATATATCTGTAAATAAATATCATCTCCATAAGCGCCAGGGTATAGTTGCCCCAAATTCATTCCAGAAATTTCTATTTTGATGGCCAGATTAGTGTGAAATGCTTCATGGTGCAACACAAATAACTTCCAGTCTTGCCAATGCATGCGATTATTTATTCAAAAGACTTTATTTGTAAGTTCCACATCAACAATCTTTAAGATGTCATTATAAATATGAATAAAAAAAAATAGCATCTTAATGAAGTAAGAATTTCCACCACAAGGAGAAAGAACGATATGCCCATCACGTTGCAGATTTTCTATTGTGAGATGTGGATTCTTCTCATCTAGGCAAGTTTTATCAGAAACGGGAATTTCCTCTACACAATGATACATGAGTTTCATAGCAAGATGCTTGTTTTGTTTCACATCTTCGTAAATATTATACATCCGCTGAAGGTCCTCTTTAACAATTGTGTAAATACTGTCATAATCATGGTTTTGGTATTCCTTAAAAAACATCTTACCGTCGTATAACCTCTGAAAGCAGGTGATTAAAAGTCGTTCAAGAGCATGAGGCAATCCTCCTGCATTTATCAAAAGCTGAAGGAGTGGAGCACAAAGTTTTCACTTATATACACGATTTGAAAATATTGGTGCTTTAAATTGTGTGGCGAAATAATTTATGATCCAAATCATAGATGTGTTGTCCAATAACGGAAGGTCAACTAGATAAAATGAAATAGTTGAAGACTCTTTTTGCATGACAACAGCCTGTGGAGCTATTCCTAAAAGGAACGGCTAAATAAAAGTATAATATTGGCCAATCATATATTGTGAAATCTTGCGTATAATATTTTTGAATAACTCTTTTGCATTCTGTACATCCCATGTATCAATCAATTGAAATTCATCAATATGGAGATACAGGAATAATTTTCGATTATTATAGAGCTTCAGAAATTCATAGTAATAGGTGATAACAGAGTCAAAAATAAAAATATCTTTGCCGTGCATAAGGGCTTTGGCACGGAATTCTTCAAATAAAATATAATATTTACTTTCAATAAAGAATGCGTAGGCAATACGCAATCCGAAAATTACTGATACATTAAGTTCACAATTATAATCGTCCAGCTGAATACCTTTTCCAAAATCCATGTGTAGGTATTCAAAATGTGCATCACCCCAACTTTGGGGCGGTTTCCAATTTTGTTTGGCATATTCAAAAAGTTCTTGGCCAAATCGTGTTTTGCCTATTCACAGGGGTTTCAGATATAGATTAGCAATTTATATAAATCAGTTAGAAGCAACACAAAAAAATATATACCTATCCCGGGGGCTCCCGCACTAACGAGATACCAGTAATTTGATTTGCCTTCCTTTTGTAAATCATTAGAGCTTGTGTTTTTATTAATATTTTTTAATGCCTTTTCAAAGTTGCGCTGTTGCAATAGCATGCATATTTTGTCAAGTGATTTGGACGTGGATATGTCAAACCTTTTGGCACCCTGTATAATGCTTTTGATAATTTCTTCAACTAAAGAAAAGTAATGCCTTAGAGCCAGATATTTAAGTACAAGCAATGCAGAGTAACTTCAATGCATGCTTACCAGTTTTCGGAGGTTCTATTCGTTTAAAAAATGTTACATCAAACTCGATATTTTGTAACCAAAATTTCTTGTATAAGAGATTAACTAACCATCGAGAGACACTTACCAGTTGTAGTGGGTGGCTCCACGATGATGTGGATATATTCTTCTTTAAAAATATATCCTTGAAAAACCTCTAAAATCTTTTTATGTGGATACAAATCCTTACCAAGTATTTGTTTATTGCTGATATTTGTACAAAAGTTCTCATTAAGTATTTTCAAATGCTCATTGTCTTCATCGAGAGGTATTTCAAATTTCCATATCTTCAATTCACTTGCTTTGATAATATCGTTAGGCTATAACAGCTTTTTGAGATGCCTAATCTTAAACTCTTCAAGATCGATATAAACATCACCAACTTGAATTTTTTTGCCAAGGTCAATTGGAGTAGCACACTTAATAGGAGTGCCCAGAATATAACAAAATAATTTAATGTCAGCCATACAAGCACGAAAATCAAAAGCCACATCGTTCATGGTCATTTTTGAGAATTTTTCTTTTATTTAAAGAGTATGCTTATTTCAATGCGTTATATAAATATGTCAAAATTGCACATTTATACATACATTTTAAACTTAATCGGTTTAGTTAGATTTTACTGGCCAATTAAGCAACAAGAGCGACTATCAAGGTTACACAAAATGCGATCGTTCGTATCTGATAGATTCCGAAATCATTGTTACTGTCATTGTTAAAAATCTTAAATAGTGGGCCAACCATATAGTGCTGTCCTATAATAGTAAATCATTTAGTATCTAACACCCCAATTTCCAACGCATCTTGTATTGCCACCCATAGTCACTTTTTAAATTTTAATTGCAACTTATTTAATTATCGCTACAAATTCTAAGTCAATTACATTCAATTCGAATGTATGTATAAAGCATTAACTTTGAATTTAATGTTATATACCAGTAAAGGTGTTTTTGTTATATCCACTTTGGGTTTTTGAAGCTTTTTTGCTCGTTCAAAATCTTTAATGTCATCTACCATTTTTTTTGATAGATTTAAAGTTCGATTCAATACTTTGAAGTTATCTTTTTTTGTTTTGGAAAATCATTAGAACAATCAAACGCTTAGAATATAAAATTAATAAATTTATTTGAAATATAATAAAAAAAAAATAATTTTTTTTTATACCTTATGAAAGTTTTTTGTACTTTCTTAAAATTTCAGATTCGGATTCACTATCTTCAGTGCTCAGTTCATTATTTCTATATTTTGGTTTTCTGAATTTACCAGATTGATCATTAAATTTACGCGCGTAATTAATTAAGGTCGACATTCGAATATTTTCCTATAAAGTTTCTTTAGCTCCATAATAAAAGGATACTGAGAATTTCGTTATATCTAAATTAATATAATGTTAGATTTAGAAATTTTTAAATCATAATTTTATGGCATTCATCTTCCCAAGAGGATTAACAAGATGTTTGCATAATAAGAATCTGTTTCTAAAATATTCAAGTTTGATTATCGGTTATAATGCTATATCGATATGTGGTTAATCGTATCGGCGTGTTTGATTTTTTAGGGTCTTTTTTTGATAAACCGTTATACAAAATTTTGCTCTTAAGTACCGTTGAGAAAGTAACAAAACAAAGCACTTGTTGTAACTAATAAAAAAGCAACTAGACAAGATAAAACACAAATAAAACATCTACACTAAGCTGTAGAATACTGTTTGTTGAAATACTCAGGTGTTTTAGGATAAGAATGATGGGTTAGATGGGTAAATACGAAAGCGAAGTTTCAAACAACTAACCTTTTTAACTTACTTTTAGCTTATAATTAAATACATAGATGGCATAATTTTTATATATATATTTAATTATGAACTTAAGGTTGGTTAAAAAGGCTGCTCTTACGAAAATTCGTCTTGTAATAAATTTTAAATATATGATAATTCTCAATCATGATTGGTTGATTTTGGGATTGAACCAAACACACCGATATGTTTTTGAATTTGTACAAATAATCCTTTTTAGCATATATACATATTGCTTTCTCCTGGGGACGTCTAAAGCAGAGCAGATTCTTATAATATATATTTTATTGAATTAACTTTAAGGTTAGAGCCATCTTATATTAGGGTTAGGTTATGTTTTAGATAGTTATATATAAGCAAATTTGCCTTCCGAATATTTTAATTAACCTACCTGAGGTAGGTTTAGGTTGCCGTTTTTGGATTTTTGTTTGCGATCATCCAAATTCCATAATTTGATTGATCAAATGTCACGTGATTAAGCTCCGCTTTAATCGACCCATTTCTCCTTTAGCAGGGTTGTGAATAGACATAATCTAATCAAAAAATTATTGTCTAATTGTCTAATAGTCTATTGAAATTCTATTGATTAATAAGTCTAAACTAATTTTTTTTATATACAGTCAAACCTGTCTAAATAAATACTGTATAAATAAATATCCTGTACAAATAAATACAAAAATTCAGAACCAAGTTGGTTACTAAGGCTAATTGCATAAACTGTTTAACTGAATAATGCATAAAAAATTTTTAATTTTATTAGTAAAAATTTATACTAACTAAATATTTTAAACTTTATCTGCATAATTGTTACACAAAATTTTATAATTTAATTAGTTAAATTATAAAATATACCAATTTTATTAATATTTTTATATATTTTAATTTTTTTGTAAATGAATATCCTGTCTAAATGAATACAAAATTAGTCCACCGACTATATTCATTTAAACAGGTTTGACT